ATATATATATATATATGATGAAGCTAAATTATTTTATTTGCAAAACATTACAACTAAAATTCCTCTTTTATAAAAGCATAATTTCTTGTCTTCTTCATAGGGAGAAGAAGCAGCAGCGGCTCTGTTTTTGTTCAACACTCTGCAGGCTAAGGCCAAGGAGAGAACTCCATTACACAGAAGAACTTCATGGATCTAAGCTTAGTTCCCTATGTCGACTTGCCGGCCGCCGAGAAAACCTCCGGCGACTGCAAATATCGGGAGTGCTTGCGCAACCACGCCGCCGCAATGGGCGGCCAAGCGTACGACGGCTGCGGCGAGTTCATGGCCGGAGAAGATGAATCCCTCAAGTGCGCCGCCTGCGGTTGCCACCGCAACTTCCACCGCCGCGAAGGCTCCCCAACCCGCCCCCCGATTCTGAAACCGATTCTGAAACACGCAATGGTACCGGCACCCTCGCCGGTCGCCTTCTTCCCTCCCCCTCCCCTTCCTTTTCACCAGATCCCGCCGCCGGTCTCGCCGGATTTGGGGCGAGGAGCTTCGGAGACGCCGCCGAGAAGGGAAGAGGGGCCGATGAGGAAGAGATATCGAACAAAGTTCAGCGCGGAGCAGAAGGAGAAGATGTGGATCTTCGCGGAGAAGCTCGGATGGCGGATCCAGAAACACGACGGGGAGAAGCTGGAGGAGTTCTGTGTGGAGATTGGGGTCAAACGGCATGCTCTGAAGGTCTGGATGCACAATCACAAGAACAATCTCTCGTCTTCCGCCATCACTACCTCCGCCGCGGGGCTCCGCGGCCCCCCCCCCCCCCCCCCCGCCCCCGCCCCCCGCCGCTACTCCTATCATCCGAGTTTGATCGGATTCCGGTGGCATTTGCAATCTAGGTTCTAAAATTCACTTTTTTTCTTATCGCATTTTCAAGAGAAGATTAGTGAGTAGACTCCTCCGGCCGGAGTTGTTGATGTTGGAAGATGAACGGAGTTTCATTTTTCTATTATGAATATATAGGAGTTTTTATATGTCATGATTTTATTTTTATTTTTATTTTTTTGGTAGCATATATGTGTTGATATTTTAGATTGGAGCTGGAATATTTCTTTAGAGCTCAATTTAAAAATAATAGAAATTATTAAAATAATCTTATATAAATAGTTGGGCCTATTTTTGTCAATTTAATTATTTATATTAAAATTTTGAAAAATGAGTTAAAAGCTTATAAATATTTTTAATAAATTTGATGATATTATTATGAAATGGAAATGAATTTTAATTGAAGGTGGGAAATATATAAGAAATAGATTTTGTATTATGTGAGATTTAATATTTTATTAGTAAAAGATGGGGGTTGAGTTAATAAATAAATAAATAAAGGGGATAAATATAGAATTAGTTGGCGGTAAAGAGATAAGACGAGATGGGTGCGTTGGGATTGCTAATTAATGGCTGCGCCCCGGCAGCACGACCGCGGTGCTCCAATATGGGAAACGGGGATTCGTTCGGGATACCGTTTCCCCCAAGGACGCATGCGTCAAAAATCCTTTTTTATTATTGTTTTTTTATCGAGACTTTTTTTTAATATATATTTACTTAAATAAATGTTTTCGTGAAATTATATAATTCACTTTGAAAAGTTAATACTAAAGATATTTTTATATGATGTTAAGGATTTAAATGATGCACAAAAAAATAATTTAAAATAAAAAATATATAAATACAATATAATTACACACACATGCGAGTCATATAAGCTTAATATAAACAACTAAGTACTAACTAAACAAACTATTTATTAAACAACAATGGTACAAGTGTCCATACACAATAATGATGGACATGACAAGATGAATAAAATAAGAGAATTAACATATTCTTAATGTTTATTGATATACTTTTTTTATATATTCGCATGTGGCATTACGTTCATGTGTCATGATATGAACATTCAACCAACAAATTACTTAAACAAAATAATAATAATAAAATATAACAAGAGTAAAAGATTTAAACTATTGAACAATAATAGCCATTATTCAAAATAATTTAGTTTTTTTTTAAAATTTTTTTAATAGAAGGAACGGTCAAAACCAATTAATTATACGAGCCTCAAATCACCCCTAATGTGCCTAACAATTCGAGTACCACCTCCTTAAGACGAACTGTGTCAGAGGGGATTCAAACTCTTAATGTGCCTAATCATTATATACAATCGAAATATCTTCCATATAATTATAATTCATAAGTAGGATAGTGAAGATGAATTATATATATATATATGGGCATCTATAACTGCCCTAAGACATTAGAAAACTTTTAATAAACCATATACCTAATCTTATTGAATACTCCTTGATCTCCAAATTAATGGATACAATCATCATATTAAATTTTTTGGCTACATAATAAATTACTTGAAGAGAAACTTTAGAAATCATTAAAAGAGAAATATTTATTAGAGAAATTTGCATGCATAAGTTTGATATTTATGTACGAAGGTAGTTATGTTGCATCTTTGATGTGATTTAGAGATTTGAATAGTATGCAGGTATTGTAAATATCAAAGTTTTGGTACTAGATATATAAATAAATTAGAACTGTGTGGTATAATACCCCTATTTATTTATCATCAAAAGGACAAGACTCCCACAAGTGATTGTGAGAGATTAATAGGCTTGGCTAAATATGATTCACCCCCATGCGACCAATCAGATAATGCCACGTAGGTGTTTAACGTTACCAATAAATCCTACGTGCAGGTCACCTTAAGTCAAATAGCTGCTTTAATCTGAGGACATCCATCTCATCGACCACCAAATTGCCTGGATGGTTGCCTGCATCTCAACATCAAGAGAAGGAATTTCAATGAAAATTATGTTTCAAAATGATAATATTACAAGAACAGATTTCTAGCATGCAGTGTAAATACGAAAGTTTGTGTCAGATACATAAATACATGAATTATGTGGTAGGTATGTGAATTTCCCTTTAAAAAGGAGCACTTAACATGCATAGCACACAATTCTTATGTCCGTACATATCTTAAAGCAAAATTGTCATATTTACACGCGCAACACGCCAGAAAAACCTTAATATCACATCGAAAACATCACTATTATCACTTTTTAAAAATAAAATACAATTTTTTCATGCATACATTTATGATACAAAGGAATTATAAATGTAAATGTCAAACTTTGGGTGTTAGATATGCTACATAAGAATCGTGTGGTACATACGTAAATTTCCCATGACACAATGCACTTCTCATTCCAGAAAAAATTCATTTTCATCTTCAATCATTTTGCAGTTCAGAAAAATCTGAAGAGCAAATGGGTCAATGGAGCTGGCCGTGGAGGAGAGGCAGAGCTGCCTTGGGCTTCGGCAGGTCTTCGGCAGTCGAAGAGGTTACTGAAGGAATCAAGGGCCATGATTTGACATCAACAGTTGCAGGTTTTTCTTCATCTCCATCACAAAAGAACATTACGTGCGAACCAGATAAGTGCAAATAAGTGCAGATTTGGTGGTATTCGTTGGTACTGTGCAATCTGTTTTCGCATGTAATTATTTGCTCCACCATCACATTTAGATTTGCTTCCATGTCCTCTGCTGTGATTTCACATACATAGCCGTTACAGCATAGAAAAAGTTGTATTTTACTTTAATAGGAACGAGGGAAGATTTACACAAAAGTCCACTCAATCCCTATTATTTACAAACCAAATGCCTATACTTCCATTGTTACATATATCTCCTATGCATAAAAAAGGTGTATTTCACTTTATTTTGAAGTGAAGTAGTAGTATTTTTGGCAAGATATGAAGGTTTAGGTGGCATAAATGTAAAAAAGCAAAATAAAGGCGATAGATATGTAAATACATAAGAATTGGGCGGTATGCATGTAAATGTTCCAACAAAGAAATGGTTTTGTGATAGACTAAAGACAATCTTCCTAACTTAGTTCTCTAATTCTTTATTCTGAACTATTGCTCTGATGCCTCTTCTGTTGTCATAACTAAATATAATCATTAATTATGAAAGTAATATATAGTTGACGTGCCACAGGGAGATCAGAAACTTAATTTATTTCATTCAATATTAAAAGTTTAGGGTATTAACATACACACCAGCAGATTCCTATGCATTTATATATCTAACACCTAAACTTTACTTTTTTACAATTATACCGTTCAAATCATTCATATCACATCAAAGATACCACCATTTAACTTTCAAATAAGTGAAATGCACCTTTTCCGTGGGTAAGGCGGCGAGTATGAAAAAATTGAAGTTTAGATGTTTGATATGTAAATACAGAGGAATTGAGTGTTAGGTGTGTAAATCTTTCTAAAACTTTTGCACTCCTCATACAAAGGGTTTATCCATAAACACAAAGATTTATTAAACAGAGGAATTGAGTGTTAGGTATGTAAATCTTTCTAAAACTTTTGCACTCCTCATAACAAGGGTTTATCCATAAACACAAAGATTTATTAAACATGTATTTACACAAATTTAGGTATGTAGATAGCTATGTTTGGGAGACATGACATTAGTAATAGATTATATGCATATCATATAAACACAGTTTATAAGTTATAATTCATGGTATCTACCAAATATACCATGAGCATTAGATCATTGTCCAAATTGATTTTTACGCATGTATTTTTACTAAATCAACTATTAAAAAAAGGAAGATTCACATACATACCACTTAATTCCTTTGCATTTACAACAACGCCTAAATTTTAACTTTTACATATATATGCCACGTTAATTATGCATAAAAAGGTGTATTTTCACTTTCAAATTGTTAGAATAGTGATATTTTATGTGATTCAGAAGAATTGGTTAGCATAAATGTTTGAATTCAAGTTTAGATTGTAGATATGTAAATACATAGGAATTGGGTGGCATGTATGTAAACGACCCTTAAAAAAAATACTTCCATAAACTTAATAGTAGCCCAAAAAACAGGCTTCTTAAGATGGTACTTCTTTACCTCATAAGTCCAGGTGCAACAAACGGCGTCGGAAAAGAGACAGCAAGAGTTCTATCACTGAGAGGAGTTGAAGGCATGATCCCATCAAGAACATTGGAGGGCGGTACGACAAGCCTCTTCGAACAAAATCCAAGCACAAAAGCTCAATGTCATGGAGATGGATCTCAGCTCCCTCGATTCAGTTGAGACCTTCGCACGCACATTCAATTCAACAAATAAATGCTTAAACATCCTACTGTAAGCAAAATTCAGCACTTATTACATAGAAAATGAGAAAATGTCAAGATAGTCCAATGACTCTTTGCAAGGAGTCATTTTAGTCGCAGAGTTTATTAAAAAAAAATCAAATTTAGTCCCCAAATCCTTTGCGTATGGGTTGAAATAGTCCCCGATGAGGACCATGTTAGCCCCCATTAAAAGAATCTAGGAACTATGAACACTTTTATAAAGTTGGGACTAAAATGATACACATATAAATAGTCAAGGAGACTATTTTGGTTTTTTATTCTATATAAAAGGGATGATGTTCATTCACATTACAAAAGCAAGTCCTGACCATATTTCAAAGCTGCAAGAGCCTGCATTCTGATAACAACACTAACATTAAAGTTATTATCTAGGGGCATTTACATACATAGCAAACAGTTCTTATGTATTTACATATCTCACACCTCAAATTTTTAATATCACATAAGAAAAAAACATTATTATCATTTTTTAAAAGTGAAATACAGCTTTCCATGCATAGGTCTTAAACACTAAACTACTATGTATGTAAATATGAAAGCATACATGTGAAATGTGTAAAAGCATAAGAGCTGCGTGCTATGTATGTAAATTTCCTTACTGTCCATTAACAGAAACAATGCAGGAATAATGGCTTCCCCATTTCAACTATCAAGGGATGGAATAGAGATGCATTTTGCCACAAACCATTTTGTATCAACAAACCTTGGAAGTTTTGCCTTAGTTTTTGCATTTACATGCCTCAAACACGCCTTATTTTCAAACTTTGTTTGAAATTGCAGGTTATTTCTTACTAACAAAGCTTCTTCTCGAAAGACAAAATCAACAGTAAAAGAAACTGGAGTTCATGAAGGATTATTAACGTATCTTTGTCTGCTCATAGAAGAGGGTATGAACTACCATTCAATTTGGACAAGCTGAACGACAGATCAAGACATTTGCAGCTGATTTGCTGTTCATTTCTCAAATAAAAAAAAAGAGAAGCTGACACTATTTCGTCTTCTGGTAGCTACGAACGTTTTTCGCAAATGGTCGACCCAAATTGGTAAATATACTTCATGCAATTGAGCTATCTAGGCAACTGCAGGTCAGCATGATAATCCCTCAAGGACTAATAGGGCCCTTTACATACATGCCACCCAATTCTTATCTATTTATGTATCTAATGCATAAACTTTACATTTTACATTTAGACTACTAAAATCTTACATATCACATCGAAAATACTGTCATTTTAACTTTAAAAAAAGTGAAATACATCTTTTCATGCATAGCTGAGGTGGTATGTATGAAAAACAATTGAAGTTTGGGTGTTAGATATGTGAATAGACTAGAATTGAGTGGTATATTTTTAATTCTTCCTGAATAATAATATTTCCAAATGTTGCGTTTATGCTGATAGAGAAAACAAAACATGCATACTAATATTCATCTAATGATAACCAGGAAAAGGGTTCCAATGTCACAGCCAACTCACACCCAGGATTAATTCAGACAAATATAGCACGCTTCCTAGGCTTTAGTGGTACTTAACATTCGTTCACTCAAACTTTCCTGGCTTTTGTTTACTTTTTTTATTATTTGTTTATTTTGGAGAATGAGCATTAAGAAAAACTTTCTATGTTTCTGCAGATGGGAATTTGTTTGAAGCCATTTTGCAAGACCATCACATTAGGAAAAAATGTCAATTTTGTTTCTATTTGTGGAAGAAATCGTAAAAAAGGGTGAAGATTGAGAAAAACTAATTTCTTTCATGAATATAATAGTAGTTTGATTTGAAAAGCATTCAAATCTGCAGAGCCCTGCAACGACTTGTTATCTCACTCTATATCAAGATGTAAAAGATGTGACCGGCAAATACAAAATCGATTGCAACGCAACAAATCCTTCAACCGAAGCAAGGGACGAAGTTTTAGCCAGCAAGCTTTGGGTATTCAGAGAAAAGATGCTTAGAAAAAATGTAAAATAGAACGAAAGCAAACAGCCTACTATTTATGACTTAAGATGATTTAAAATTGTAATGTTTATGTATGACATATTATTACTAAAACATTTTTCAATTGGGATGCTAACTTATGATACATTTTTTTATTCAGTGCAAGATTGCCTATCTCATGTTAATGGTTTGTTTTTTGCATTCTCATCGACCACAAAGCATACGAAGACCTTGCCGCTGAGCTGCCATAAAATTAATATCCATATGCATCCTATAAAATAAAATCATTATCTGTACAAGCAAGCCAAAGAAAAGACAATTTACTTCCACATTAAAATCCATATAAAGAAAATTTAGTTCAGTGCTTTTTAATGAAAAAAAAAAGGAAAATAAAATAATTGTTGCAATTTTAAGCTATAAGTTTAATTAACTTTGCCAACTACAACCTGTGTAAATGACACCATATTTTTTGTTAGAGAAGGATGCTATTTGGCATCAGTCAATATAGAAAAGGGAAATTTAGATATGTAGCACAGAATTCTTACGTATTTACATATCTCACACCTACACATTAATATTTACATACATAGGTGTATTTCACTTTTAAAAAGTGATAATATGTGATATTAAAGATTAGAGCACTACGTGTGTAAATATGAAAGTTTAGGTGTGAGATACGTTAATAAATAAGAATTTTGTACTGTGTATGTAAATTCCCCAAAAGAAAATGTTTATCACTATAACCAAGCAACCGACCAAATAATACTTGAATATATCAGCTCCAAAAGAGCTTCATTTCAATAGCCAAATTTCTTCATAAGTTAATTAATGCCAACAATTATTTCCATTAAAAATGCAACCTTTAAACTGATACGCACATAAACAATACAAGAATTTTCACTACATATATATATATATATATATATAAAGCATTAAATTTTCTTGAAAAATGCCTAAAACTGACCTAAGCATCTCGAGGCCTTTGAGGCGGCGTTCTTTTTAAAATCTTGCAAACTTCCTCCATGAGCTCATTTGAAAGAGTTCTAAAGAACTCATATGATTCCTCAGTTTCCGCAGCTCTTGTAGCAACCCTATTACAAAAATAACGCAAACTGCTACAGCGCTTTCCTAATTCAGATTTATTTTCATTACCAGCCTCAATTTCAGGCAAACTTTTAAAATTCAAGGTCTTAGCATCCTTAGTCCACCTCTTCAATATATACTGTGGAGGAAGCTCCTTAATATTTATAATATCTAATACTTTCAGAACATGCTTGCATTGAATGCCCATAAAATCAAATTTCCGACAGCTACAGATAATGGAATTATCTGCTGTGTTGAATCTCACAATATACTCTTTTGAGCAATTTTCAGCTTTAACCTTGTATATATATGTAGCATGAACATGATCACAATTGAACACCAACAAATCCATTGACAACTCAAACTCCATTTGGAACACTTTAAACACCGCAGGAGTATAAGCATTAGAAGCCTGCCGTAACATTTTCGAAGCCAGCATTTTTCCGTAACTATGAAAAGCACGAAAATCAGCTTGCAGTTCGACATTGCGTCTCTCGTTCAATTCATTCTCGTAACGCTCGAAGAAGTCCAGAAGTTTACAGTCCAAATGCAAGTGGTCTTTGAGTTTGGCGCTAATGCTTTCTCTTAAAAGAGAACTTTTTATGTCAGCATAAAACATATGGCGCCCATAGGCCACAGACCACTTCTCCCTCTCTTCGTATAACTTAGTCAGCCACAAATTACCACCAAGATCGTATTTTTCTACCAAGCTCGTCCATTCCGACACGAAATCATCTTCGTCCTCTACGTCATACATACATCGGCTGAAATCCTTCGCAAATGTCGTCGAACCTTGAAAAACAAAGTTTAAATGCTTCAAGGCGTTGTTATACATATGCCACACACAAATTCGGTGATTTGTGCCCGGCCAGGCGACAGCTATGGCATTGCTCATGGCTTCGCATCGATCTGTGAGGACGACATTTGGCTGCTTTTCGGACATTGCAGTTTTGAATGTTTTGAATAACCATTCGAACGTTTCTTTCGACTCATTATACAACAATGCTATGCCAAAAACAATTATCTGCTTATGATTGTTCACTCCAACGAAAGGTGCTAATGGCCTGCCATACTCTCGCGATCGGTAGGTTGTGTCCAGACACACTACATCACCAAAGCACTCAAAATCAAACATGGACTTCCCATCAGACCAAAAGATGCTTGAAAACTTCTCATTCTGATCCAACTTCAGAGCGTAATAGAAGGATGGATCTTCTGCTTGTTTTTCCTGCACATATTGCATTACAGCTCCAAGATCACCTGGAAGCAACTCATTCAAATGCTTCGAGGGTGAGTAAATATTGTATCCACAAGATGTAAAGGTTGGATTTTGATTGCTTTCATGCGCCCCATTCTTGATATCAGATGATTCTAATGCATTACGTTGGCCATTTGCCAAAGCAATTGAATCGGCTTGTGCCCCAACTAAGCCCCTCCGCCAACGCCACCTAAAGAGGTGCGCTTTTGAGGGAATTACAAGGGGATGGTTATGCTTTAACTCGAACTCGGTAACACGATATCTGCCATTCTTCATTATCTTGATGGTCATGGAAGCAGCACAGCCTGTTCTTTCATAAGGTTTGGGACCCCTTACATGCTGTTGTTCTCTCTTAATCTCATTACTAATTCTGGTTCGACCCTCTTTATGACAAACATATGTTCTCGAATACACCAGGCCTGAACTCCTTCGTTTCACCAGATGCTTTCTGACGCTGAATCCTATTCTAGCAGCGTAATTTATATAAAACTCATATGCCTCATCATCATCCTCAAACTCCATATCGACTTTTGGCACCCAATCCTCATTATCGACATTTTCTAAAAGTGTCGAATTGTTTGGAAAATTCGAAGGAATATAACTCTTAAGAACAGGCATTACCATAAGCTTCCCACCGAAATTTCGCTTTGGGATATTTGGATTCATCGCCAAGTCATTAGTTGATTCCAATTGAACTTCTGGGGTCTTTTCTACCAGCACATGGTTATGCTCAGCTTCAAACTCAGTAACATGGAATTTACCATCGTCCATAAGCCTGACACCAATATGTGCACCGCAGCCAGTTCTTGCATCAGGCCGAGGCTTCTTCCCTTCCTTCAAGCTCCTGCAAAATCCTTCCTTGTAACAACAAAAGGTTCTCGCATAAACCGTCCCATTAGAGCGACGCTTCACCAAATGCTTCCTGACACCAAAACCAATCTCTCTAGCGTAGAAGCAGTAGAACTGGTATGCCTTCTCATCGCTCTCAAAAACCATGTGTAGCTTAGGAACCCAGCTCTTCTCAGAACTTCCCTCGTCGGAAGCAGAGGTGGGCGGCTCCGGAGGTTGGGACATTGCTCTTTGCCCTCGCTCCTCGGGTTCAAAGAAGACCACCGGGCCTAAAATATGCAATCTTTTTGCAAACACCAACTGAATTTTGAATAAAACAATGGTGAGCAATTCGAAGGGAGAAGAATTGAGATAATTTCCAAGCAGAATCGGTATAAAATAAGAAAAAACATGGGAAGTATGTGATGTTTTCGATGAACAAGGTACAGAAGTTCGAGTAAAAATAACGAAAGAATGAATCCACAACGGAAATTTCGAGTCGTGGGCTCACCTGAGATGCTTCTTGCTGTGGGGGCACATATCGGAAGATTAACAAAAAAATTCTGTAGAGAGCGGGAGAGAAGGAGAAGGAGGAGAGGGGAATCGGACGAGGGAAATTTCCGACCTAGGTTGGAGGGATGAGAATGGGGGAGCTTTGAGACGGCGATAAGAAGAGAAGACAGGTGGGCCCACACAGAGCACCACACGTGTCTCCGAATCTTTTCTTAATGTAAAAATATATTGTTTTAAATAAAAAAATTATATAATTACTTGTTTATTACCTTTGTGAATTAAGCATTATTTAGAAATATTATTGTATATCGATGACCCGCATGTGCGAATTAAATATACTCATAATGTTTATTACCTTTGTGAATTAAGCATGATGACCCGCATGTGCGAATTAAATATACTCATAATGTATTAACCAATGCACCTTATAAATATGACTTTATAAGTATGCAAATATTATTTTCTCCTTCGGTACACCAAATTCTGCACCTACATTATTCATATATAATAAAGGCTTACTAGTTATAGGGCTGTATTAGTTCCTTCTAAAAAATATATTTAAAAAAAAAAATCTAATATAAAATTATATTTTATTTAAAATTTATTATTAAATTCAATTCCATTGAGTTTAAAATTAAACGCAATGAATTTGAATAAATTTCAATCACATTATTTGCGTAAAATATTAAAATGTTACATGTCTGTTCTGAGAAAACATTTACGTACAACCTTCAATCAACATATGCACAGTTGAAGGTGCAGATACACGTCGTGCATGATTTTGTTTTTCTTTTTGCGCTCATCTAAATCATTGTCATGCATAGACATTTCGTCGTACGAAATATTTTCAAGACGCAAACTATATATGGCACTTTTGCAATTAACAAATTAAATTTATGTTACAACTCAACAATAATTTGAAGAGTAGATCCGATTATCTACTCAACTAATGTTACAACAATGAAACTGTCTTGCTTCTCATTTAATCATTTTTGGCTATCAAGAAACCACAGCACGCAACTTCAGATCCGATTATCTACTCAATTAATGTTACAAGAATGAAACTGTTTTGCTTCTCATTTAATCAATTTTGGCTATCAAGAAACCACAGCACGCAACTTCAGGCACATTCAGCTGTTTGAAAAGATAATTGTATGATTATTATTAACCAAAAAAGAAAACAATTTTAAAAAATTATACTTTTTAGATGTCTGAACAACGATTTTTGATCTATTTTATTAAAAAAAAAAAGGTTTTTGGGTAATTTACATTAATAGCACACAATTCTTTAAGTGTTTTCAGATCCTAAACTTTCATATTTACATAACAATTTGGCGCATTAAACGTATGGAAAGAAGAGAGGATTTCACTTTTTAAACAAGTATTCATATTGCTATATTTGACAAGAAAGACCTGAGTGGTATGTTTATAAATTTTAAAGCGTTAAAAGTGAGATATATGTAAATAAATATAAATTTACATAACAATCTGTTTTTATCACAAAAATTTAATAAAAAAACAGAATGAATGTTATGGTGGTGATATGACAAACATGGTAGAAAAACTGCCTCCCCTAAACAGACCTGATGCAACAAGCATCTCACACAATCACCAGCAATGAGGCAAACAAATAAACTGCAACAAATTATATAAGATGGGAGGATTTCCATAAGTACCACCCAATTCTTGTTAAATTTCATATCAAACATCCTAAACTTTAATATTACTCGCATACCACCCAATTCCTTCCAATTATTGCATACAATGACCCCTGAAAGTCCCATATTTCCCGTTTCTCCTCCATTTTGCTTTAGATCCAAATCCATGGATTGACAGGATTAAATGGGCTGAAGCAAACAAAGACGGGTGAGATGAGAGGGAAGAAAACGGGAGGAAAAATGGGACTTGAGGCAGAGTGAAGGAAGTTTCCAGGGTCAATGTATGTCGTCATTCCGCCGTTGAATTGTAAGCTTGCCGAAACGGAAAGAAGGCAGAAGATAACGAAGGTGATAGATGAGATAATTGAGAAGAATTAGGTGGCATGTATTTAAATCCCACTATAACATAAGAAATCAGAAAAACACATGGTCGACAAAATCAAATTATTTTTCAAACTTTATCGCCCAAAAAACAGGAAACAAGTGTCAAAGCAAAATTCAGTTTCCAATCAGAGATGTCAAAAATGCAAGCAGAGCAACAACTATCATGATATTGAGGAAGTAATTAGATTTAAGGGGCTTATCTGGGCTGCCCCCAACTGCTTCATACTCCCTCCTCATCTTCTCTTTCATAGCATCCGACAGTTCTCTCTGCAATCCACAGCATATAATACGTTTTATTTACTTTCTTTTTCCTATATCGAAAAGGTTTCCAGATTTATTCTAAGTGATCAAACTGTTGAAAAGCTTCAATGTTGTGTTATTAAAAGACGCGGCAGAAGGAAAGACGATTCGTTGTTTTTTTGTTAAGCCTGCAATTCATGAAAGTAGGGAGCATAAATTTCCTTTTAATACAAACTATTCTGCCATTATATATGCAATCTGGGGGTGTCATTTAAAAAATAAATGATTGATAAAATTATTAAATGGTGTGCATGTATACCTTTCCAGATGAATATTTTGCAGCTTGAAATGGCTCAGGAGTTGATCCCTTTGTGTCATCATCTATAGAGATTCCCTGTCAAAATCAAAACAAGAACAGGTTTTTTTTTAAAAACTATAATTGCTGTAGCTCAATTATATTAAGAACAAATCAAACAAAAATAATCATATTTTGATCCGAAACTATGAGAACCAAAAAGAAGTCTAATTAGGTAACCTCACAATAAGGTAGTATCTAAACTCAGCATGTCACCCATCTAGCACTGTCAAAAAATCTCTTTGTGAACAACTTGTACTTTGCTTGTTAAATTGCTGGTGCTTGATTCCTTCGTTAAATAAAAGAGCTAAACATGAATAGTTTTTTTAGCACAATTTCTAAACGAGCCGAACACAAATAAACTGTTTGATCGAGTTAAACTCATTTTGGCCCGAATTAATTCATAATTTAAATAAAAATATTATCATATTGATTTTTTTATACCGCATTTAAACAAAATGTCAGCACTAAATCATTTGAGATAATTTCAAGCCGTTCAAGTTGAAGCGAACAAACAAAGTCAAATCGAGCTGAACACGAGAATGTTATTCACGGGCCTATTTCAAGCCTAACAAATTTCAAATGGGCCTAACACAAAGAAACACAGCTCGCTCAAGCTCGGCTCTTTTACACCCTTGCACCCATCCACAATCATGCAACGTATGTGTAGAATCTACAGAGAAAACAATTGGGATGTGCCCTCACATCAAGCCCTAGTGGTGCCAAGAAATGATATTGGAGAATGGCTCAAACAAACAAGTAACACCTTGGAAGGATCCAAAAATATCATTTGAGTAAACGAAAATAGGTTTCAGCAACAGTTTTCTTAGCATTGCGATTTACAAGGTGAGACGCATCATTACCTCCGATGGATCAAATTTTGCACCGAGATTACTGAGCTTGGAATGTGCTTCAGCATAGTCCTTAAAGAAAGAATCCTGATCCTTGGCGTATTTCTCAGAATAGATCTGTCACCATGTATTGTATCAGACACTGGAGAATATAATTGCATATTGGAGTTTAGGGATCAGAATAAATATAAAATTGCTTACCTTGAAGGAAGGATCGTCAAATAATACGGCATCAGTAGGCAAAACAAGAAGATCCTCATCCTTCCGCTCTTTTATATCCTGAAAGGAAAAATAAAATAAAATGGATAATATTTTAAGCAAAATTTAGGAGTGATAAAATGGCTTTAGACGTTTCTTACTTTGAAGTAACTATTATCAAACTTCAGCCATTGTACCGTCCATGACTGTCCTCCAGGTGCTCCAGGCCCATTTTTCTGATAAATAATATAGAAGAACGAAATATAATACCATCCTAACATGGATGTTATGTATTCGAGGTTTCATATGATATGAAATAAACAGGATTGTCGTCGGATGTAGAAAAATTAGCGTATTGGCTACAATTGCTAAAGAGGAGTAATCGACAACATTCTTCAAAAAAAGTGTTTCAAGCAATAATATGACAACGTAGGAACATCATTAATATGAATTGAGACTGCTCACATACATGTAACATATTTTAAATATTTTGAAGTTGTTTAATTAGAAATAAAACAAAGGCAGGAGTTTACTTTTCACTATATACTTTTGAAATAAAATGAAATCAAAATAAAACTCGATTGTTGATTGGTAGTGGGTAACGGCAGGAGCAGATATCCGGCTGGTGGTAGGAGGGGATAGGGACAATAGCCAGAGTCTACAGTGTAATCAAAACTCAACCAAATCTAAATGAGTATGGAATACACTTAGAATGCACTGAAGACTGGTTTGAAATTTATTGAAATTTTACTCTAAACCCTGTTTTCCTCAAATCGAACACTCAACCTTTCAAAATACATACATTTCATTTACTTTAGACTCCGTTCTAAGAAAATCAAACAGCCCTTTATTTGGATATAAATTGAGGGTTCTACCATTAGGTGTGAAGACAAAAGCATGCTCAAAATCCTAGGTAACATTCATTTTTCCAATTTAATATTTTCCTCGAAAGATACGAATTCTAATCATAGGAAGGGAATCACACGGACATGATCTTCATAATTACTTGGTTTAATAGAAACTAGGCACATAGTGGTCACAATATAGGATGTCTCGTTATTCCAACATAAATTGGAAGCATTGTAATGAAGGTCCGATCTTAGTTGGCTCTTGTAAGTGCTACTATTGGTATAGCATTTAATGTGATAAGGTTGGCTCATGTAATCTGTTACGCCTGTATGTGAGCCGGTCCTCCCTGGACCGGCTGAAAACAGCAGAACCGGCCCACGGATGGGTTGATCTTGGTGATAGAAAAGAGCAGGGCGAACAGGGAAGCCTCAGAAGAAATTGTTATGGCTATATGTGAGACGGTTCTCCCTGGACCGGCTGGAAACAGCGGAACCGGCTCACAGGCGGGCTAGTTTTGATGACAGGAAGGAGAAGGGCAAATAGGGGAAGCCGTGGAAGGAGGAAAGAGAAGAGTAGGGTCCACCAGGGCCTTAATCGCCTATAGAAAGAGGAGAAATTAAGAAAGTTTGAAGAGAAAGTTAGGAATGAAAGTTTTTGAAATGCTGGGAGGGGATTCTATTAAGGGGGAGAAACTAAGGTTTGCTTCCTTTTATGCATGTTTTTGTGTGTTTGCTATTTTCTTATCTTCTTGTGGTGTTCCTAGCAACTTCTATGGTGTGGGAGAGCCAATTTACCTCTCTAAAGTAGATCAAACATGTATTTTGCTTAATTTCCTTTGATTTTCGTAAAAGTAGCTCTTTTTTGTGTTTATTTCACTTATCTATTGTCGTTTTGTCGTGGTATGTTCGTTGATTTTGGTGTCCAGGAGTATCAAATAAGTATTAGAGCATAGAACTTGGTCGAATAGCAGCAAAGAAAGTTGATGCGCTAGAAGGAGAAGTATAACAAATCCGATCGAGAATGGAAGAAATGTTCGCTATCATAAAAGATAGATTTTCTTCTATTGAAATTCAAATGAGTAATGGATTTTGAAGGCATAGGAGAAATCCGGGACATGACAAAAAAAACTTATGGAGATGCAATTCAAGGCCGTTTTGACCGCTCCAATTGCAAACCCTAACCAATGGTTGATCATAGAATCCTTGGTCAGGTCAAAAGAGAATGAAATGGAGCGAGAAGACAACGAAGAAGAAATCATCTACCAACAAGAGCGTCTCCCTAGAACTCCGAGAGGAGAATGAAGACTTTCGATGGAGGAGGAAGAGCCAAAAACTGGAGAAGGGATGGTGGAAGGTTCACGGAATAGCATGATGGAAGAAAGAGGGAATTGCGAGAGGGATATGCCTATGATCACAGAGGGAGTTTCACCCAAGATACATGGGGGAAAATTCTGGAGGGAGAGAAAGTTGGGGGGGAGATGCAAGGGTCAAAAAATTGAAGATGTCAATCTTCGAAGGGTAGGATGCATCTAGATGGTGTACCGGGTGGAGTGATACTTTGTGAGCAACAGGTTGACCGAGGAAGAGAAGCTCATGGCAGTATGATTATGCTTGAACGGGAAGGCTTTAGCGTGGTCCCAGTGGATGGAGGCAAGGTATCTGATACACTCAAGGGAGGAATTTAAAGATTGCTTGTTGGAACATTTTCGAGCCATTCAGGAAGGAGACCTACACGAGCAATTCTATGCTCTGACTCAAGAGGGGAAGGTTACGAAGAATTGGGAGAAGTTCGAACTCTTGTCAGGAAGGTTGTGGGAGATTTATGCATCAAGCTTGGAAAGGAACTTGGAAGGCCTGAATCCATACATACAAGTGGCCAACCGCCCCTTAAAACCGCGAGGATTGAGGGAAATGATGAAGCTCGCCCGGATGATGAAAAAAAAAACAGGTGAAAAATACCAGTAAAGGTGGCAGCACCAGAGGATTCTACAGAGCGCCTTGACAACCATAACACCGAGGATCAGACGGTGTCGTTTTAGAAAGAGACGCTGAAGCAGAAGAATACAGGACCCCGTCCCAAGGTTAGTTTCAAGAGCCTCACAAATGCAGGATAAAATAACAAAATGATTATGTTAAAGTTGTGATGAGAAATACGCCCCACTACGCCGTTGCAAGGAGCGCGGCCTTTAGATTATGTTAGTTCAGAAGGAGTATACAGAGACTGAGGGATCATAAGAGGATGCGGTGAAGGGTAAGCATTTGCATTTGAATATGGCATAGGTGTCCCTCAATTCAGTGGTGGTATTTACGTCAAATCACACCGTGAAGATAAGGGGTTGGATCGGGGAACAACTGATTGTGGTGTTAGTGGATAACGGGGCCACACATAACTTTATCTCAAATCAAGTTGTGGGGAAGCTAGGGTTGAAGGTAGTGACTTCAGAGGCTTCGACGTCATGATGGGGACAGGGAACGTGCAAAAAAGTCAGGGAATTTGAGAGAGGTTGGTTCTGACATTACATGGCCCATAGGTGGTGGAAAACTTCCTTTAGATTTGGGCAGCACAAATGCGATCTTGGGGATGAAGTGGTTGCGAACATTGGGAGAGATGAAGGTGGATTGGAAGGCCTTGACGATGGAGTTCAAAGTGGAGGGTAGAAAGATGGTGTTGTACGAAGAAGCTAGCTCATGCAAAATCATGGTTTCACTCAAAACCTTGGTCAAATCGATTCGGGGAGCAGGACTGGCTTACTTGGTGGAGTTGCAGAGTATAAAGGAGATTCTAGATTTGGAATTGACAGAGTTTCTGGAAAGGGTCCAACAACCCTTACAACAGTCTATAGATTTCTCTCAGCAGCCAAGCGGATTACCTCCTTCAATGGAGCACGAGCACTCAATTAAATTGAAGGAGGGTGTTTCCCCCATCAGTGTTAGATCATACAAGTACCCCCAGATTCAAAAAGATGAGATAGAGAAGCTGATCCGAGAGATGATCAAGGCTGGGATTATCAGACCTATGTGAGTCATTTTACCAACCCCGTCCTATTGGTGAAGAAAAAAAGATGATAGTGAGAAATTTTGCATGAACTATCGGGATTTGAACAAAGAAACGGTGTTGGACAAGTTACCTATTCCTAAGATTGATGATTAGGTGAGTTTTGTGGGGTAGTCATTTTCTTAAAAATTGAACTTGTCAGGGTACCACCGGATACGGATGAAGCCAACGGATGTGCATAAGAAAGTATCCAAGGCACATGAGGGATATTATGAGTTCTTAGTTATGTCGTTTGGTCTCGCCAACGCCCCAGATACATTTCAATCCCTCAGGAATAGGGATTTTCAACCTTATCTCTAGAAATTAGTCCTGATTTTCTTTGTTGATGTTCTGATCTACAGTCGTACAGAGACAGAACATGTGAGGCAGCTGAGGACAGTTCTGAAAACGTTAAGGGAGCACCAATTGTACGCTAACTTGAAGAAATATTTTTTTGCCCAGTTACAGGTGGAGTACTGATACACCAAAAATATATGTATTTTTAGACTCATATTTTAAACTCTTTTTTTGTGATATTACACTTTAATGGAAGATATTTTTATGTTTTCTTGCAGATGGTTGAATTTTAGGACTTAAATCAAAAAGGATGAAATTTGGAGCAAAAATGAAGAAGTTGAAATTTTTTCAGCGCCGACGGCGCTAGAACCAACACCAATGACACCGTTTGACAATGAGCATCAAATTAAATTGTGGAACAATGGCGCCGACGGTTCAGCCCCTGTTTCTAAAAGATTCGACGAATTTAAACGCTTTTTGATGAGTTTTTGGAGGCACCTATTGTAGAACCGACTTTAAGCTTTATTTGGGGCCAAAATTGATCAGAAAAGTGACTCTTCCTGACATCTCATCGCCCAAATTCAACCTTCTACGCATTACACATTCTTCTATTTTTCATTCCACAACCATTTAGAGTCCATTGTTCTTATAATTTAGAATTTTTTGGTGAGATTAAGGTGAACTCTTCTCTAAGAGTGTTGAAGAAGGAGAAAAGTATGAGATTTCTTCTTCCTACAATTCCTAGAAGAGGCTACAAAGGATTTATTTTGAGAAATTGTTTCAGATAAGTGTTGTTTGTTTATTAGTGTTGTATGAACTTTCTTTTATATATGAAATTTATGTTTTGTTGTATCTTTCTCATTAAATCTGGGTAGTTTACTTTCTCTCTACTCTGTGGTATGGTGAAATGAAGAGATAATATGGATGTGTCATTCTCTCTCTACTCTGAAATATGGTGAAATGAAGAGATAATATGGATGTGTCAATATTAAAATATAA